CATTCATTTTATATGTCATATGAAAAGGCAAATTGAATTTCAATGAATTCACTCAACTGTGGCGAAACATCCGTCAGTGGTGTGCAGTATTCAAAAGACACGACTCCGACGGCAATAATATTATTTCGGCCCATGAATTGAGGGCATCTTTTCAAGAGGTCGGACTCAACGTCAACCGACAAATACTCGAGGTTTTGATCCACAGATTCGGTGTCTTTCCAGCGAAAAAGGATAGCAAAGAGAAAGGATTGTCTTTTGAAGACTTCATTCAGGCGTCGATGAAATTGAAGCATTCAATCGACACCTGGAACTCAAAATCAAAGACAGCACAGACACCGACCCCTTCAAAGATATTGCCGTTTGCTTCCGGAAAATATGCCGCGAATAATGCTATCCAAAGCAAGCCGTCTTTCACTCTCGAAGAAGTAGGTGTCAAACAAGGGCTCAAATTAATTATTAATTTTAAATGAAATGATTTCTTTCAGTTCGTCGAGAGAATGATGTATTGCTAAACGATTGACAACTATTTGTTAAGTAAAATAAATGTTAACTCAAAGACTCGTAAGTCTTACTGTTAACTTCTTATGGAGAAATGAGGAAGATAAACCGATATTTACGCTATTAGTGACTGACGGCAGTGTAAATGAGACGAAAAAGGAATTTAATATCGTAAAACACTACAAAATTAACTAAAACTATTTTTCTGAATATTGTTACTTAAACTTATGAATGAATTAAATTTAAGAAGAATGTAATATTCAATCTCATTCCACTCTCCATGTTAAGCCTACGGTAATGCACAAATGGCATAGAGAGTGGACAGGGATTGAAATGTTCAGATCTATAATTATGACTGAATTCACTCATAGACTTTTAAAGTATAAGTATTTTGAATTTAATGATAGATTCTTTCTATTGAGAGTTATTTCTCTCTATAATAAAAGCTTTATTTTATTGAAAAGTTATTTCTAAATCGAAAGAAACTGTATAAAGAATTATTGATATATTTACTATTATTGTCAATATTTTTGCAAAAATTGTTATCAATTTATAATCGCTTTATTTGTGATGTATTTTTGTTAAATAAATATAAACATACTTCATGTTATTCTAAATAAAAATTTATTTTTAATTTTAAAATTTACTTTTTTTTATTTATAACACAATTTTAATGTATCATTTTTGGTGAATTCAAAACCAGTGTTGATAACATTAAAGCTAAATAATAATTGTACTGAATTTAAGAATTAACATTATTTTGCAAAATTATAAAAATAATAAAAATAAATATTTTCAATGAAATTTTGTTTGAGGATATGAATTCAATTAAAATGATTTTGATTTCAATTCTGCGTTAATTCATTGAATCACTAGAGTTTTGATTTGGTTAATGTATACCCGGTTTAAGTTTAAGATAATTTGTTTCAAATAAATCAAAATTATATACAAATGATATGTAATAATGACATGAATATGAGGTTCCTATGAAATGTCAAAATTGAAGAATTGATGACTTAATTATAGACATTAAATGATGCGATGATTTAATGATAGCGAAGGAGGTGTTGATTTCACGTGCCATTGCTGATCTCAGACAACAATTTGCTTAAGACTTTGCATTTATAATGTAATCTCGAGTTTTCTTTTTCAATCTTTCGTTTCTGTTCGTCATTTAATTGAATTTCTTTTATGAGATGAGAGTTTTGTGTCCGCAGTTCACTCATCGTCGCCAACATATCCATTGAGCCATTGTTTGCATTACTTATCGATTTCTATGTGAATATCAGACAATATTTTTGATATTAATGAAAGTTTTGACAAATTTCTGAAATAATATATTGAAAATCAATTGGTAATTAGAGGTCACCTTTTCATGAGTAGACCCATGTCTTTGGGAGCCATCCTTATAACCAGAAGAATGGTTCTCAACTATAGTAACGAAAGCAAATGTGAACACAATGTTAAACACATTGATAGGGAAGTCATAAATTTTTAACCTCTTTCTCTGCCGTCTCTGTGACTTCGAGTCAATCCTTTATAAGTCTTTCGATGCGTGACTTCTAATCCATCCTTAGATCTATTGAAGGCATCAATTAATCGCTCGTTTAGTGATTGTATGAGAGTTTCAAGAGTTTCACGACTTTGGTTGAGATCTAAATCGTCTGATTGTAAGACGAATTCAATGATTAACTTGAAGATGGACGTGGAAAATGAATTTCTGATTTGTTTGTATGAATTGCTTTCGATTTCATCGACAAATGCATAAGAAATCGAAGAATTGACGAAATGATGCAGAATTTGAGTGAAATGTTTGTGCAGATATTGCTTAAGGCTTTTCATTTGATTGAGATGTCGTTCCTCCAGTTCCTTAAGTCTGGCATTTAAATTGGAATTAAGTTCCATCTGTTCCTTTAGATTAACCTCTTTGTTATGTAAAGCCTTTTCAAAGTATTGTTGCATTTGAAGGGCACTCTCGTTGCGATCAATAATAAGCTGATCTGTTGGACCAATTTGTGTACTTAATTCATGTCGGAGTCCATCCATTTCCTTAAGGAGAGCGCCTTCTGAGACAAACTCATTGTTTTGACTCATCGTCTCTTCATATTCTTCATCCAAACTATTATCTGTTGGGAAACCGGATATCAGTTTTGAAAGCAAATGCTAAATGAGCTCAACATTAGTCACAAATAATAGAGAGAAATATATTTAATCCGAAGAGAAGTATTGATTTAATGATTGAGAAGTTATACCCAAATCTGAGTCAGTTTTCGCTGATAACACCATTCGCTTAGTCCTACCAATTGGTGAACATTCGTCGTCTTCAGTCTCATCTGATATGAAAAATATAAAAGATTAATGAAATAAATCTCTTGTCTCTAAACAACTATTTTGAGTGTTGATTACCAGAAGAAGTGGAATCATTTCCTCTCCTTTTTAAGTTAAAAGGGACGACAGATTTGTTGTGAGACTTATTCGCCAATTCGTCGACACTAACCGATTGTATGTAATCTGAAAGCCAAGACCTACTTTTGCGTTGGTTTGCCACTCGACTGCTAGCCTTAGACTTATGGCTGTTGTGGCGATGGATTGAAATTTGTTGTATTTGTTGCTTAAGGTTTTCCATTTGCAAAATTAACTCATCGTTTTGGTCTTGTATTTCCTTAAAATATGATTTTTATATTAGTTTTCAATGAATTGAGCCAAAAACTAGACTTTGCAGCCAATTGTCGGATGGAGTGGTAGTATAGCTCACCTTATTTTGTGCTTTCAATGAATCGATCTCTTGGTAGTGCTCTTCGCTAACTAAGCCCTGCATTGACTCTAATTCTGTGAGCTATGAGAACATAAAATCCAATAATAAATGATATTTTGGCCCAAAATTCATAATAATTAAAGATATTTTACGACTACAACACTATAACAAATCGATTATACCGTAGGGATAAACTTGTATTTTGCGAGAATTACATACAATATTACTCTTATTGCTATTTGTATCTTAATATTAGTACACTATCTGTGCTGTCATTAACAGAGACAACACTTTTGCACATAATATATCATATAAATAGTTCCCCCTGTAAAACTCAAAATTCAATTTATATGCAAATATGCTCCTAAAATACATACATAAGAATAAATCTAAATTCTCTTAAATTAGATTTCTATTAATTTAAATGTTTTTCAACATTTGGTCTTATTATTGACTTTTTTAAAAGCTCTCAAATAAGGGTTTCTTTTAATTATTATATAGAGTTGAGTAACCATTTCATTACACTCTAGCGATTAATAAAAAAGACTTTCAAGAAAATAGTATCACTTTATTGTTCCCAAGTTTTTTCGATTTTCTTTCTTAACTCATTTCATGTGCTATCAAACGAATGGTTAGATTAGATTTGCATTATATTCAGACTTAAAGATCTTATTCTTATTCTGTTCTCAAGAATATTCTTATTTCAGTTAATATACGTTTAGATTTGAATTGCATATTAAAGCATTATTTTCTCTTTGTTCAACAAAATACTTAAATATTGTATATTTTCTGATATACCTTTAGTTTCGCTAAAATGTTGTATGATTAAATATAATATATAAATTTTCGATTATTATCGATTTTTTAATTTTGGTCCAAATATAAAATTTATACTATACTATACTATGATAGTGTATAGAAATTTATAATATGTACTCTTATAATATGTTTTCAAAGGCTTTTTGTATGTTAAGAGGCTTTGAAAAAATGTTTTAAAAGTATCGTTTTAGAGATTTTAATTCAAGTGACTGAAGTGTGAACTAAGAAATACTGTATATGTATAATAAAGTTGTTTTATTAATGGATATTATAATAACATAAGATTTAAGTGATAATAATGTAATGTAAACATTATGTGTTTACCTGGTCCTGAAATCTTAAATAAAATACTTTTTAAAATTTTATTTAAAAAGCATCACCACTTAAATGACTTTTTAGTGCATTAGTACTCAACCCTTCAGAAATCTGTAGTCTAATACAGTAGAGCTATAATAACTGTTACCGTAATATTGGAATTTAATTTGCATAACATTTGTATACAATAAATATATTCCTATTTTTGTATTGTGTGTATAATTTGCAAAAAATCAATGCCAAGAAAAGGATATGATTGTCAGTAATAATAATGTATTGTATTTACTTTTTTCTTCAACATCTCTGTCTCGTCGAGTCTTTTGTGAGAATCGATGAAAGATTTTTGCAATTCTAAGTATTTTGTATTAACGGATTGCACTTCATTTTCCAGGCGTTTGTTTTCCTGCGAAGATTTATTGCATTTCACAATATTATGACTTCTTATTCACAAAACGTCTCATTCAATGAGATTGTCATAAAAATAAGACAATCCCTGTCATGCAATACCTGCTCTAAAACAATGATCTGATCCCTGAGCCGGGATGACTGTTCCTGTGCTGTCGTCAACTCTTTACTAATGTCTTCTCTTAAGTGAACCGACTGTTTATCCATTGTCTCCCTTTCCCTTTGCAGCTCTTCCTGAAGTACTCGAATCTGTTCGTTGTATCGCTTTTCCAAAAGACTATTTGGGAGACAAGTATTGCAGTAATTGTGGAGATTTTTGCTATTTTTTGCTTGAAGTGCAACCAAAATAAGGTTTCGCTTATTTGGTGTGCAATTGAGTCGCGACTCACATGAGTTTGTGATGAGAGGAGGCCTCGAGTTTGGCGTTGTGGTCGTCCACCTCTTGTGCTAATAAGTCTGCTCTCGTGTTGGCCTCACAAATGCTCAGCCGAAGCCTATTCCTCTCATCGCTGATGTGCTCGTAATTAATCCTATAAAACATTATCCAATATATGAGACAATCTCTGTTTTTTATATAAAACTTTTTTTGATGCGTTAGATATTGAAAAGAGTTTTATATTGTGTTATAAAAAGAGTTCATAACTTAGATCTCATGCAATATTAATGAAATTCTTTCAAAAGTGCATTATTCATAAGGCACTGGCACTCGAATCCAGTGCCACATCGACTACACAAATAAATTACAAATGTTTTGTGTTGAGCCGCGCCCTATATTCTCAGTCTTGATATTCTCACAACTATTTTACATTAAATAACGACTTTTTGTTTGATATATAAGTGAAAGGAATTGTTTAGAATTGGAAAATCAGTAAAAAGTACTAAAAATTCAATAAATGTAAGGAAAGAGAAAAAGTAGTGTTTGATGTGTTATTGTAAACTATACTCACTTTGTTTGAGTCAATTCATTCTGGAAAGTGGCCAAACATATCTGTTTTGGGGTTAATGTGTTATTTTTGAAAATACAGTTCACTTTAGCAATCTGATTAGGCTCATATATTGTATTTCAATTCATTTCATACCTGAAACAGTTCCGGATTAGTAGTGTTAGGAGCGCACAGTTTCTCCTCTAAAACGGTTGACAACTCCTGAACATTGACTTTGAGTTTGGAATTAAATCCTAAATTCTGTGCACAAGAGAAGTGAAGTTTAAATACAAATTCAATTTTAGCCCAAAGGCGTCAAAATAGAAATTTCTTTATATATATACACTATATTCTGTATATTCTATATATTTTATAAACTTTGCTTTGCTTTATATTGTGTTAAAATATTACATATAATAATACTGTTATTATTTACTCAATGCCCGTCTATTGTGAATAAAAGTGATTACATTTTAAGCTTAATATTCGCCTTTGTCTTCAATTCAATGCTTAATATACATTAATGTCTGAAATAATTTATAAGAAATTAAAAGCTTACTAAAAACTCATTTGACTTCATATTTCTTGATATTGTTTTGAAATTAAAATTCATTTTGTAATAAATGATTTATTTTATGTGAACAAATGAAACGCTTATTCGTCATTTGTTATGTTATATAATATTTATTACACAACAGTATGCATACTATAGTATACTGTACTTGTATTGTATTACTTCTTTCATTAAATAATATAAATAAGTTAAGACTTAACACTTAACTTAATGTAAACTACAACTACACTCCAAATGCATTAATAGATAATTTGAATAAATTTAAGAGTAGTTATATTTATACTTAGAAAAAAGTATTTTACATTTTGCTTCACATAAAAAGCTTGTTTTCAATGGTATTCAGTGCATTCATTAGACATTTATTGAGTTGACTCTAGAGTCACATTAACCACAAAGGAGTCGAGCCATTAGTATTTATAGCCATTTGGTTAACATGTACTCTATTTTAAGATAATGGAGAGACTCTTCATCTATTGTTCGTGTATTTTGCTTTCACATTAAGAGTTTTCATAAATTGTTTTTAAATTATTTTTAACTTAGATATCACATGCATTTTACACTATTTAGTAGAAAATGCCTTAATAGATGATCAAATGAGATTTTAATGTATAATGAAATTAGAATATATTAAATCTTGATATAATTGTTCTAGTTTCAACATTATTACTCAAAACTTTATTCAATTAATACGATCATTCAAATTAATTAATTAGATTAAATTTAAAGATTGTTTTTATTATGAAAACAAGTATTTAACGTATGAATAATAAGAATATTATAATTTAAAAGGAAGAATACGATAATTAATTGGTATAAAAAGAATAAGAATTTCTGTTATAATGCTTAAGGAAATGACTTTTGATTTCAAAACGAAAACTCGTTTCCAGCCCTACAGTTATTTGCATATATTATATTTTATAAATCAATAGGAAAAACCATTTCGCTTAGAATTAGTTTTTTGTTCAATACTTTACTTTATATGCAATTCATTAGAATATTAAATGTCATATCATTTTTGGGTGCCTTTCATATCAATGCAAACATTTTCGCATTTAATTATAAAATATCAGTCGATATGCAGAATATGAGAGATTTTCATATATTATATTCAAAAGAATTCGTTTCAACCCAAACGTCAAGAATTTCAGAGAATAATACATATGAAATGTTTTGGCACTAAATTTTAGACAATCTCTTGAATCCAGTTTTGTAGAGATTGGGAAATAGACACAACACTACTGTTGTGTATTATTAAACATTTAACACTTTGTATCAATATTAGTTGCATTGCTTACCAATTGTAACACGGAATGAGCTCTAATCATAAAATGTTAGTTTGACACACAATATGTTCAATAGTAAATCATTAAGACTAATATTTTTGCAAATGTTTTACTGCATTTCTATTACTCTATTCAGACTCATATGAATAACTAAATAGTGATAATGTGTTTGGTTTTATAATAAAAATGTTCGCAGTTTGCACAGAAAATCAATATTTGTGGTGTTTGTGTGCCCTCAGCCATGCCTTTGCATTAAATACACATAAATATAAAATAAAATTATGGACTCATTATATCGCATATTATGAGGGATTTTATGAGGAAATATAGAAGAGACGGGTCTTTCCTTTTTCAAGTTCACCGGAACTTAGTTTTGGTTTGAGTCCAAACCAAGTCTTTATTTTTGTTTCCATCACTTCCTCGAAACACTCGAATATAATAAAAGTTTATTTGGCTTTACATTTGTTGACTGAAAATATATTATTTGGGATATTAAGCAAACATTCGCCTCATTTATACGACTCCCACTCCTATTATTAACTATTCTGTGAGTTTTGTTTCAAATGAAATTCTCATATATTTTATTCCTAAGGCTCTCAAATAAATGATTAAATAATTTGTACAAAAACATTCTCGCCAACTTTAAAGTCATTACTAATTTATTATTTAATCAAAATTCAAGCACTTTAGTATTCTTTAAGAAATATGCTTTTAATATCAGCAAAGCATTATCGAAATGAATACAAAGTAAATAAATGTAAAAATGAGTGATTAGTGAAGTAATGAGCGTTTGGATGGAATAAATCATTGAGTCTTTTATTGTAATCACAAACTCTAGCATTTAGTTTGAGAGAAGATTTGAGTGCTTTTAAGTAAATGATAATTAAGTCTTTATTTGGATGATTGGGTAAATCGACTTCTGGGATGCGGTACTTCTCCTCCATTTAATTGATTCCAATATATTATTCCTTCAATTCTTAAACAAGAGTTCATTTCTTATGCATTAGCTATTGATAAAGTCTAGCAAATGCTATACAGCACGGAATGGTATGGATTGGTATGGAGAGGATTGGTATGTGATATGTCTTAAAACGACAACATTTGAGATGAATTTTCAAGATATCGAAGCAATAAATTTTGTTTTGATGGCAAAAAGCTATGCTCTTTGTTTCTCATCAGATGGTCTCCCCATTGAACGCCTGTCTCTTTATTATAGCTAACATTTATCATAAGCCAGAGGTTCACCACTTCTTTTGCACTTTTGCTATAGATTTGCCGCAAAACCTATAATAAGTGCGATATATATTCAAAATAATAGCGAACAAGAAGTTGCACTTTGACTACATTACTGCCTACAGAGCAAACACTTCAACACTCATATCATCTCTATTTTAGTCTATTTTAGTGGGACTTCCATTCCCTCTATCCCTCCATTATCACCATTACTCTCATGTTATAAAGTGTCAAATTATTATCTGATAGAGAAAAGCCTTATAAAGAATGATAAATGCTTTCTCTAATGACAAAGATTTCCAATTTTGATAATTATCTTATTTTTTACTCCAAATAATTACTAACATTTCCAAATTATTATTTAAACAAAATCCACATTAAATAAAGCGAACTTAATTTACAAATATTTACTGCAAATTAAAGTCAATGAAAACCATATATTCTTGTCATTCTTGCATACATTTCAATGAATACCGAATTGAAGTTGAATTTAATGTTAAGAGAAAACAATTAATTTGAATAAATGTTGAAATCAAGTCAAAGTATTGGAGAGAGAAATACGGTTTGCATTGAGAGCACAGGTCATTGATTTCACTGGATTTGGATGATTGAAATAAACATAAATCTTTGAACACAACTATTGTTTGATATCTACACCATTAAGGCTGTCATTTGGGGTTATTTTTCGAGTTTCAATACACAGCGAACGTTGTGTTAAGTGTTGTTATAGTTATAATAAGTTAACAAAAGTCAGTCGATTACAAACTAACGACAACTTTCAGTCAGATACAAGACTTGTGTTTAATATTTTCTCTATTATTTATATTATAAATAACGAGTGAATAGTAGGCAGAGAGCAGTAACTCCCAGTACCGCCAGTTATATGGAGTTTAGTGTACTGTTCGGGGGTTTGATATGGATTTCAACAGTTATCGAATAGTCGAGCCCTTAGTGCAGGACTCGACTTCTGTTCACTGAGAGATTCATTCAAAATCCTAATATATATCCACTGCTTATTCTCTAACTCTCTTGCACTGGGAGTTTATGGAGTGTATGGTTGGGTAAAAAATCAATAATAGTCTCATTCAATATAAGAGAAATGTATAAAAGAGAGAGAAGTGGAGAGAGAGAGAGAGAGAATGGGAAATGAAGTAAAAGTCATGGGATTGTGAACTTGAAAAAACTAATACTATTGCAAACAATATTGATTACTGCATAGAAAAACATCAGTGACTCAACTCTAACCAACACCACTCGCGACTGCCTAACAGTAACAGTGAATAAATTATTTGCAAAAATTATTCATTTCATTGTATTATTGAAAGCAACGATAAGTTTCTTAATTGAATTAAACTTTTTTTGAATACTTTCACTGAACTGATAGGCATTGACTGATAAGCGGTGGCATTCAGCGCAGAGATAGCGTACGGCAATGACACTCACTTACAAAACACATGAATACTATGAATACTTTCTACACTAAAACTATTGGCAAAACATTTTGTGAAATAAATATTCTATTCATGACATGAGTTTAGAAAAGTTTCATCAATTCTAAAGAGACTAATATTGGAAATAATGTTATGTTATATCAGTTATACTCTAATACAACGTAAACACAAGTTAGCGACAATTTTCTATTGTTATGTAAATGCCATCCAAAGTAAAGCTTATTATTATTAAGTTAAAGTCATTGCCTGTACGACACAGACAACCACCACCACTGCCAACACCAGTGCCATACACTACTCAAACAGTAGTCGACGGAGACCAGGGAGGGAAGGGAGAGACACATAGAGAGTGCCATTTAGTGATACCATAGCATTAGTTTTGTTGCTATAATTCTTATGCTTGCGAGAGTTGGTCTCATTCTTTGCCAAATATACTGTATGTCTGTATATATGAGTGAATATATCGTACAGTACTGTAAGAGTAAGTAAGCGGTGGTGAGGTTGAGAGCGGTGGCAGTGGTGGCAGTTGTCGTACACTCAGCCCCACAGTCACCGAACGGCGCATGACTTCAATGGCAAACAAACGCCAGTTTCGTGCGATGCAGTCGTGTCTCACTATTTGCAGGATTTGTGTCTCATTTTTTCAAGTATTAGTCAATACGAGTGTTGCCGATGCTATGCATATGACTCAGTGATTACCGCCTGTCCTCTTCTCCCATACATTTATAATATTGCATTCAATAAACTTAAGCCATATTTCAAACGACAATTCACTACAACTACTGACCATTTGATTGAATGCTGTAATAGTCGTGTCTCTAATGTTCAACACATCCTTATCTCACGTTATCAGTCGTTCACTATTTTATTCATTTTGTTTATCTACCTCTTCATCCCTATTCTTACGACTCACTAACCCATCGTTGCATTCGTGAGAAAATATTGCTTTCAATTGTTTCTCAAATTCATTAAAAACTTTTTACTCGTAAAGAATTGATACATAAAAATACTTACGATTAACAACTGTTCAGAATTTGCGAATCCAAGCGATTCCCAAAGTTTGAGTACATTATCAGCTTCAGTGTATCTGCAATATGAAGTGACATTTGATTAACGTTTGATATTTTAAATGCTATATTCTATGGACAATAACAGTGAAGACTATCAGCATTTGATTGAAAAGAAAAATTATTGTCATATTTAAAGGTGAGAACGAAATTCTTGGCATATTTTGCGTTTAGATTAATATTTTGATTGAATTAAGTGTGAGTGGAAAATGCATGTGAAATATGTGTGATTTGAGTGTAAGAGATGGTGAGAGCCTAAGCAGTGGGGCATAAGGGGCGACCCGTGGGATCGCATACATTTCCATTCATATGTGTGGCACTGGTATTGTAATGGTATGAATGAAGGCGTCACTAAACCCTGTACTGCACCGATAAAAATGTCTATTCTTCACATGTTTTTTGCTGTTTTTGTCAAGTCTTGAAATCGCGATCTCTTAAAGAAAGCAAAATAATGACAATCGCTTTATTGCACAACAATAATGTTTGATATTTTTCACATCAAGTATATCATAGCATTCATTGCGCAAAGAAATTAAGTCTCTGTTTCTGTTGTTTCGTTGTTTTTATGTCTCGCCTTCTTTTCCCTCCACTAAACTTTTGCTCACATTTTCTCACTCAACAAAACAACCAATTCTTAAATGTTTAATTTATCATCTCTTTCTAGCACTCTCTCCCTCCCTCTCTCACTCTCTTTCCCTCAATTTCGTAAATAATATGATTTTTATGCAGTTTTTAAACAAAATTAAGTATGCATACAGTTTATGTAAATCGTGTAATACTTTTTGTGTAATATTTGAAAAACAAATGCAATTTGACGTGAAGTGAGTGTTTGATTGGAAGCAATGATTGAGACAATTAAGTACTCATTTCATAACATCCTGTTTGAAGAGTTAACTTCATATAACATATAAATCTGTGTCCGCACAGCATAGCCCTCACAGCACAGGATGAGCTCATCGGTTGGATTGAATCAAAAGGGATGTGAGAATACAAACTCAAATGTACTTCAATTTTAATTTAAGCATTCATTGGCCAATATAAACAAAATCAATAAAACTTAGTACACAATAGTTTTGGGTATTCAAAGAGAAATCGATTTTCTGGGCTTTTATTCAATTCATATTATTTTTTACACAAATTCCAAACTAAACCGTTAAACACAACATAAATCGACTAAAAATACATTAAAAATTTGCTTTTACTTTGTATGATAGCGTCTCTTTTGATACATTGTTTTATTAGGGTTTTATTCAGAATATTCTGGAATATTAATTAAAATGGATTGCAGTAAATAGAAATTACAATGAATTAAAAACATTTGATACTATTATTTGATTCGTTCATTAATATAAAGTTGTGTTCATTTCAAACTAAAAGAGCTCTAAAAAAGAAATCATTTAATGCTTTTGAATGTCTGCACATAATTAGTTAGAATAACAGACTGTTATATCAGTGATAAAAATACGATAGTTTAGGCTTTAAAATATTATTTTCGCTTTTAAAGCAGTAATTAATAGCCGTATTTATGTTGAAATGATTTTTAAAACACCACATTTTCAATTTGAATATGAATATAAATAATATTTTTATGCTCTTAATGAGTACATAAAGTGATTTTGTAAATGCTATTTGTTTTATAACAACATAATATTAAAACAAATATTTATATGTAATTAAATTCATAACAGATTCACATTAAAGTGGGAACTACAGCACAAGCCGTGTATTTAAAACATAAGTTATTTCACTAATAGATCTGATATATTGTTTTGATTTATTGATTTAATATGAGTTACTTGCTGTATATCTCATATCAGAATAACATTTCCAAATCAGTGCACAAATTCTGGTAAACTTGTATTTAGTTTGTTTGATAGCATAACAAATGACTGCACTGTTTGTGTATAAACTTCTCATATCTTTAATCTATTCGTTGGTTCAAACCTTTTGTGCAAATTGTGTGCCCTATCGAAGAATATGACAAATGTTGTCATCATTTCTAATTAAATGTTTTAAATTGTTAAACTTATCTAATGCATAAAAATTTAATTAGTTTTCAACTAAAAATGTTCATCTAAATTTGGAAACAAAACACTGAATTTAAATATTCTCGACCAATATGTTTGCATTTGTGTGGCGCTAAACGTTAAAAGCATTAACATTAAATAAAATATATTTCAAAATGAGTCGACAATATATTATAATAGCAAACATTTGACCATAAAATATAGGGGTAATAAAGTTAGTGATTCCTAATTTAATTTCACTGTATATACAGAATGGACTCAAAAGTATTATATTTGTGTTGAGCGCGCGCTTCACTGATAATTTGTGGATATATTTGACGTCTTTCTGTATTTTCAGCTATTATTCCAGTTTTGAATGAATGCCAGAATTGTATGCATTGAACAGATGGCTATTATAACACTTCCCAACCATTCAGTGCAATACTCGCACATAAAAAAGTCATTCAAAATTCAATTTCTGGTAACTTTAAAATCAAACGCTATATCTAATCTGAAACACAAATAAACACTTTTTTCATTAGTTTGTCGGCGAAAGTGATTATTTAATATCAAACGTAATGTGCGAACCGTATGCCTATCCAAAGCTTTCCTGTATTTGAAATGAAATACTTGATTCACTTTAAAGATTATGTTTGCGATCGCAGTTTTGTCTATATTTTGCATAACTATTTATTATAAATAATGTGTAAATTATAACATTTGCACATTTTGATAATCATTGAAATAAGAAATTAATACGAATAAGAAATAATTTATAACGTTTTTTTCGTTATGATTTAGTTTATTATATAAACATTTCATAAAAGTGCTTAAATTTGTGTCTTTTTTAACTTTTATCACAAATGATATGCAAATGAATGTAACGAAAGGACTGACAAAATGCAGTGTTATATGCAATGCATTATATTATTGCTAAAGAATTCAATTTCTTATCTCAAGAAAAACGTATCAAATTCTGGATCCGATGTAAAGATATGAAGAAAAGGAAGGAAAGTATGCATTAGTTTTTGATTTTATCAAAACTTCATTTTATGGATTTAGACTCAAAAATTCGTTCCCATCGTTCCCCACCTCTACTCTCATGTCTAGTGTTCATGTTTTTTGATAAATAGTTCCAGTTTTTGTCGATTCATTTCTCTCTCTCTCTCTCTCTCTCTCTCTCTCGCCTTCAGTACAGAGAGCACTGCAACGACTCATTCCTGTGTATCCCTAATGCCTGCGAACTATTATTTTTCTTGTGCTTTGGCATCAAATTTAAGTTGTATTTGTGATTGTGATGACAGTATTAAAAGAATATTTAGCCATAAATTCTAAATTCTGTATTTTGTTGAGAAATTCTTAAGACTTAAGTTGTGCTCTGTTTTGATGAAAGGCACACAACTGAAGACACAATTCATATGAATTGGAGTTAAGAATAATATAAAGTGAATGCAATGGCCTCCAGGGTTTGCCTACACATTACATGAAATATATTTACTTTTAGATTTTATTTATAACTATTGTATTCTCACAAATATAAGAATAGTCTGTACTGTGTTCACCCACTATCTGTACACTCAATACATTAATATTAGTCGGGATTAACGACAATCGACTTATTTCATGGACTTTCTTATGAAATGAAATTCTAACAAATTGTAAGAAATATAAGTTTAGAATTGATTTGTTAACAGAAATGCATTAAATTCAAGATTTATAACAGACTTGTATATATGAATTCGATTACTTTTTATTATTACTATATTTAAAACATTTTTTCCATACAATGGCTAAACAAAGGAAATAAATGAAAAATGAAAAAATAAATCGATATTTTCGACAATTTTTTCTATTACTATAATAAAACAAATTAGACTTTCCTTTAGGACTTCACATGAATTTCATATGAAAATGGAGTGAATTAAATGCAGAGTTAAAATAGAAAAATAATTCATCAAATGTGAGACTATTATTAAATCAGAGAACCGTTATTAAGGACTGAGTGGTCATACAGTGATGGGTCGATGCGATTATATATAAGTATAAATTGATAGCTGAGTCATGATTTGCAGAGAGCACCCAAATCTCATGAGTTTGGAAATTAATTTACTAAATGAATGTATAGTTTGACACTATTTTCGATTGTATTTTAGGTTTTTTTTCATTTGCCATTCAATTGTTTGTTATGAACTCATGGTTTGAACGAAACACTAAATAAAGTGACAAACATTTTGAGAGTACAGTAACATTGGCTTTGATTATAGGGGAAAATTAGAGAGTATTCAAAGTGTGACACAACTAATGGTGCTCTTAGAGTGAGGGGAAACACCCGAAATTCAGACCAACTTTAATGTAATGTTAAACAAAAATAAGTAAATTGTTATGCGATGAAAGGGATGTGTGATGGGGAACGGTAGGGAAGTGTAACTCGCATTTAATGGCGTATAGAATACCCTTTTCTTTTGAGAGACAAAAACGATGTCATAAATCGTGAAAATAACAAAAGAAATACAACTAAAACACTGCGAAAATGTTCTCTTATTTTATTACATAACATATGTCTCACGAGAAATGAAATACAAAATAGTCTGATTTGACTCCACTTTTATTGCATAATTCACTTCAAATATTACTTAACATTATTTTTATCACTTTGTAATTGTATATCAAATTAAGACTTAAAGGTTTTTGTTGGACTCAACACTTACTTCATAATAAAAAACTTCTCATAAATCATAAAAATAGTCATATATTTATTTAAAATTTAGTTTTATTTGTTATGAATTTATTATATAACATAAAAATAAACAAAACTAACTTATAAATTTGTAAAATAGTGATCACTTGTACTACTACATCATGGAAAATGTAAATAATAAATAAAAACTAAATTTCCCTTTCATTTGGTAGTATTTCCCAAATTTGTGTTGAAATTGAAATGAAATTAAGAGCGAAACAAAATTATATAAACTATAAGCTAAGAAAAAACTAAAAGCTTTTTATGAATGACTGAAAGTATGACAAACTATTACTGTATTTTGTTTAAGACTGAGAAATGTTACGTAAAATTGTCCTCTTTTTGGTTCACCAGATAATTGGCCCAAAAATAGTTTGTGCGAACGATTCGTACGAAATGTAATGCTTTCTGAGTTAAAGTTTTTGCGTAAATATTTGTTTGTTTGTATGAGTTATATATCATACGATATAATATGAGCTAATTTATGAACGAATGGCCAAAAGTTAGATATAATTCTGAGAATCATATCTCGAAATCTACGGCACAGACGATAACAATAACTCTGAGAGCGATATTAACTTTTAGCAAATGTCATAATAGTATAACATTTGGATCTCAAACTAATACTCCAACTAAAGAGCATTAAGTCGTCTAAATGTCAATACGTTTTCATGTAATTCATTAGAGAAGTGTTGTTTCGTTTACTTCTCCCAAAAAATACATTCAAACATGAAATTCGTGAAATAGTTGCCTATAATCTGTATTTGATTAGCAATTAGTCGATATTCAATGAGAACACCAAATATTTTTGAATTAACAGTGATTTGGATTGATTTATAAGTGAAAGTAATGTGAACTCATAATAATTTATTGATAAAACATTATCGCATGCCTTGTAATCAATCACTCGTTGCGTTCAAAAGAGTATTCATTTTAAACTCAATTTGCAAATATTTCACTCGCAATGTTTGCTAAACCAGAGCCGGAGTTTAATTTTAACATCACTTCATATAAGGACACAAAACATAATTAAAACTTTTGTCCGCTTTTGCTATATTGTCGTCAAAATCGTGTATTTAGTGTAGAGTTTATGAGTTTATTGTTGAGAACATAACTTATTAATGAAGAAGTTTCTCAATCTATTCATACATTTTAATCACTTTCATAGATGTTATGTGTTATACGAAAATTAGGGATAATTTTTTAGTTTCATACG